CCGTCCGTCCGTCCGTCTGTCCGTGTGTCTGTTTACAAAACTTCTACACCTTTAAAGATAGAAAGCTGAAATTTAATACGTACATAGATCTTCACTAGAAACTTATTTTCGTAGAACAAAATTTTTACCTATCTTCCCCCCTCTAGAAGTTATACCCCCCCAAAACCCTAAAAATGGCCTTTTTTAAATATTTGTTGCAATGAAACCATAAGCATTTTTGAAATTTTGCAAACGCGGAAAGGCAGTGGCTTGCTTCCCCTTGCGCGGTATACTATAGTTCAACTTAAGAAAAACAAAATGGCCGTTCAAATTTACCGTTATTTAAAGTCCTTTTTTTCCAAATTTTTGATGTCGTTTTTCTTCTAGACCCCAGACTGTAGAAGCTTGAAATTTTACGAGCTTTTAGATATTAATAAATAGTTCATTTTGTTAGAAGAAAATTTTTTTCCATCTCCACCCCCTCTCAAGTTATCACCTCTTGAAATTCGTAAAATTTGAATTTTTGACACCTTATATTTCCGAAACCGCAAGCTTTTCCAAATTTTTATAAACGCAAAAAGCTAACGGTAAATTCCATGAAATTAAAAAATATAATTATTTTTCTTAACTCACACAATTAACCTTTAAAATCGAGCATTATGTTAACCCATTTTTATATAAATTTTTGCTTTATTTCAAAGACTGCATATATGCGTCATCCTAAATATATGCAATCCTAGAAATAGTATTGTATATGAATGAAAATAATTTTAATAGTGTGATAGCTACACATAGACTGTATTTAAAAGCAGAATTTTCACTTGTTGAAGGGAAAAGTGCTACAATACAAACCATTGGTTTGACCCAACTTTATTACTTTTCTGAGTTGTTCTTATTTAAAGTATTTTGAATTGTCTATTCAATTATTACGTAAATAAACTGATGTAGTTGGTTTCTCGTTCACTTGGGCTAGATTAGTTTGCATTTCAACACAAAACAAAAATTGATACAACAATATTGAATACGAAATTTCAAATTAATAATACTGTTCGAACATAACTCACATGCGTACGAAGATGACAAATGCAAAAAACACTTACAAAAATTTCTTAACAAGGTCAAATTTTCTGAAATTTTATTATGATATTTCAACATCGAAAAAATCTAGAAAACGAAAGAAAATTTCAAAAATATCACATAAAATTTAGATTTCAATATATACTTGAATGTGATAAAACTCATTTAGGACTGATTTTTGTTTTCAAAATTGAATTTTTTTTCATTTAAGTATGCAATTGAGGAAGGAATTTAAATCATGCGTTAGTAAAAATAATAAAATATTTCATTATTAATGTATTTTTTATAAGAATGCCAATATGTTTAAACTAAAGTTTTTTTTGTTAAAATTAAAGAGAAACTCTTAATATGAGGTATTCGTATAGAGATTATAAAAAAATCATTTTATAACTTGGTCTATATGAATAAAAATTTGAGAAAATCCTAACAGAATCTTATACTTTGAGAAACTGGAGCAAAGTTAACTATTTTTAAATTAATAAAATAAATTTAAATTTAAAGTATAGAAAAATTATAACAACAAATTGTAAGTATTGGAATGTGCCTTTATATATAGAGTGTACTAATAACAATACTAAATTCAAGCCGACATGCAATTTCAACAATTTACAAAAATTAATAGATTTTATTCATATTAGATTACTTGCCTTTACATATTGTTGAAAGTATTTATGCTTTCTATTTAAATTGCTTTCATATATTAATATTTATGCAGCTCATTTTTCTCTTTCATTGAGGCAAATAATGAGCAAAAACTCTAATTTTAGTTGTAATGCTTGAAATCGTAAAATAATTCGTTAAAGAGGGCATTGTATAGGAATGAACATTGTAAATGCTATATTAAATGCATTAATATTTTTAAAAAAATTTTTATTTTATTGTTCTACAAAATTTCATATCCATATTACAATATTTTTATGTTACCCAGCATTTTTCATATTTCTAAAATTCTAAATAAATTCTCGAGTTGCTTTTATTATTATTAAAACACAATTCTTATGATCTTTTACTCTTGACTTTGTATAATGAGCTTATTTTAATAATATTTTGCATTGGTCAATGGTACTTAGACATAAGTATAAAGCTTTTGTTTTCAAAACAAAGTAATTTATAATTATATTTTTTAACTAATTGATTTAATATATGTTTATAGTTAACAATTATAGATTTTAGAGGTTTAGAAAATTATGTTACAACACGGCATTAATTTTAAAAAATGCAATACAATATCGAAATTTAAAGAAATAAAAAACTACAAAGCATTTTGAAAAAAATCTTTTTCTAGTTTAATAAATAAATTTGAATATGAATTAAACAATATTTAAAATGCAGAAATTTTATTATTAGTAATATTTTGACGATTAATCGTCTAGCTATTCAAAATTTATTTATCCTGAAAAAAAGTAAAAATTTTTTATGGGGTTCTAATTAAAACAATTGTTCATTCTAAGTGTGCATCCTAACAAAAGGTCTCATTCTAATTAATTCTTTTGATTGGCAAGTCTGAGAGGGGTCATACTCATAGTCATCTTAATAAACTCTTTTAGTTGACTTCAAAACAAGCCAAATCTTACCAAACACCATATGTCCTGAATTTAATTTTTACAATATAATTACAATTTTAGTATCATGCTGATATATCTAGTTAATTTTACTAGTAAGTATTACAGTTTTGATAGAGAAATATAAATTTTAATGTTTTACAGCAAATAACTGACCATATTATTTGAAAAATTCTATCATCAAGATTAATAATTCAAACTTATCTTCAAGTATTTTTAGAGTCCGAATAATTTTATTATAATTTTGATTGGAGGAGATAATGAATAATTCAAAACTTAATTTAAAGAATACTATTGATTAATTTTAGAAGGGAAACTTAGCATAAAAGTAAATGTATGTATGCGTGCATTCAATTAACAACTAAACATTAGATTTCTATTTAAAGAAGACAACAGTCATCAGATCGCCGCTGGTAATGAATACGATAATTTAAATATTGTAATATTTAGATTTTGTGTAGTAAGCTCATTTAGCCATTTTAGCCTTATTGGGTCAATGAGTAATATTATATGATTAGTAAAAATTATTTCATTTTCCTAAATCTTATATCAGGAATAGGTATGATTTTAATTAAAATTTCAGTTTTATATAATCAAATAAATTGCTTTATTTCTAATTAAATATACGAGTACTTTCGAATACTACCTGTTATAGAAAAATTGTTTTCTATGAATAAGTAATTTAAACTTCATTACAAAATTACTACCACACTTCTGAAATTATATACAAAATAGTACAAGTTATTATTTACGGTTATTTTAAAAATAAGTATCCGCTTGCTGTTTCGAATTATTTGCAATTACTTTTACTATTTTTTCTCCAAATAAAATAACAATAAAGCACTTAGATAACAATAAAAAAACAACAAAATTGTTAAGAAAAAAAAAACTTTTTTTTCCCTAAGTGTGTACATATACATATAACAAAAGTGTGGATGTCAAAATTAAAATCAAATTGTCATGAAGTGTGGTAATGCTTTAATTTATTTTGTCTACAGAGGAAATTTGTTATCATTACACCTTAATTACACACTTATTTTTTTTTTCTTACAATTTTATAATGTAATCCACTGAATGTTATTGTACTAGATATACAATACGCTTAAAATGGTAATTATAATATTAAGAAATACTTATAAAAACATGGCTGTAAAATATTTGCAAATCTTTAAATTTTAAATACAATTGCTTTAATAGATTTAAAATATTAAAAAAAATATGTAATTTATGTATAAAGACAAAGATCAAGACAAAGATATTTCAAATGTAATATACCTTTTATAATTACTTTATTTGCCCCCTTTTTCTCTTTTCTTTTTATAACTGAAATGGTCAATAAACGCCATTGTATAAATTTCATATGGAAAGGTTCATGAAAAACGCAACTTGTTAAATAAATAATTATAAGCATATATATATACTTAATTATTTAAAAGCTAATTTTGAAAGATTCTTATATAATATAATGAATTGTTATTTTAAACAATAAGTATGTTTGTATATATGAATATTGTATAATTTTAGTTTTTTACCTCTTGTTTATACCAAAGATTTTAAAAGTAAAATTTTCAAAGTATGGCTAAAACGTATTATTTAATTTGTTTTAAATTATTTACTTATTATTATAAACAATAACCGGTTAATTTTAGTAAAATTGTAATTTTAAAATTACAAGTTTTCAAATTTCATTTTCTTATGCAAATTTAATAATAATCTTAATGCAAAATATATTTGACTTATATGCATGTCTTTTTCAGTAATTTCTACAAAAATTTAGGTACAAGAATTAAAAAAATATTCTTTTGGTGACAAAGGAATTACGCTTCAAGTTCTCTAATTCTTTGAAAAAACTTTTCTAATCTCTAGTAGAAGAAAATGAAGAATCAGAAAATCAGCGTCTTTTTACATTAAGCCCTACTGGGGCCGAATTCAGAATTCACCTGGTTAAGATAAATTTATTATGTAAATATTTCAGAGTGATATGAAATCAATGGGAGAGAAAAACCCAATTTTTAATAAACAATTTATAGAATTAAATTTTTTTTTTGCAATTACCTACAAGACTAAAATAAAAATTCTTTGAAAAGGTCTATGATGCTCTTACAATTGAGAGTTGCAATCGTCAAATGTGATGAAGGCAAATGTGTTATTCATACAAATATTTTTTTCAGATTTTTAATTTTAAGTTCAAATACATTTTGAATATATATTTGCTTACACATATAGTATATATACTCGTACCTATAGATTTTGCGTTAATATCTATATAAGTGAATAAGTTGAGGAAAAATTTTATTCATCATCTTCAAAAGTATAGATATTTAGTTTTTTATAGTACTTAAATAAAGAAATTATTTTATATCGCAAAAAAAGAAAACTTACTTTTTAATGCCCATAATTTTCCAGTTTTAAGCCCATTCATATAATCAATCATAGATTTTGAACAATTATTATTTAAATTTGATGAAATATCGAACCAACGATCTGATATTCTTTCAATATTAAAAACATCTAATATATCACTGACTAATGTCATTTTACTATTGCTATTATTATTATTATTATTTTCATTTAGTTTCATTAGATTTTCGAATTTATTAATATTTTCATCATTTTTATTAATTGCTATTTTTGATAATGGTATTTGTTGTCTATGAAGATTTTGATTATTATTTAACATAATATTATTATTATAACTATTTAAATTTAAATTATTATTATTACTATTACTATTTGTTAAATCTTTAGTAGCTGGTAATGGTGAAGTATTAATTATCATTGATGATGATGATGATGATGGAGATGACGATAAATTTTGATTTAAATTTATTTCGGCTATAACTAATGTTAGCATAAAAAATTTTGATATAAAAATTATTTGCAACATTTTGGCGGGATTTTTATATATTAACATTTTAATATAAAAATATTAATTTTTGATTTTTAAAATTTTTTATTTTTGAATACAGTGATGAAAATTAATTGTTATTTATAGGTTCATTTGGCTCATATTATATAAAAAATTAAAATATTTTCGATTATTTATTAAATCTTTGTTTATATTTTTTTTTGAATATTTGAATGTTTGTAAGACAACGATGTCCTACTTTAAAAAAAAAAAACACTATAAAGTTTTTGTATATTTTGTAATTTTATTCACTTCTATAATAAAATGGAAGAAAAAAGTTATATGTAACTATAGTTTTTACAAAAATTTTCAAAATGAAAGAAAAATTTAATAATTTATTTTAATTTAAATTAGAAATTATCTTCTAATTAATTGAGGTATCTAATGTGATATTTTAACTGATTATATATACGGGAATAAAGCAAAATGTTTTCCATTATACTCTGTGATACTTCATAATTTCATCAAATTTGGACAATACTGAGGTGATTAAGTTAAAATAAAAAAACCCTATTTAAAAAATTTGACCAGCCGAGATTTTCAAAAAACAATTTCTTAAAAATGCAAAACATTTTTAAAAAAACTGAGAATAAGCGAAATATGAAATTGTTAAGTAAAATAGTATAATTACCGTAAATATTAAAATAAATTGGACAAAACCGGATTCTACTCAAAGGCCTCAATTGAATTTGTTTCAAAATTTATTTATTCGAGGCTTCTTAAAATTTTCTAACTCAACAAATTTATACCTGATTGGCCATATACATAACGCATTGTCAAAAATAATCAGTGTCCAGTTATTTAGTTTGATTTATGAATTTGCATTCATATTTTATTAATTTATAGAATTTATTATTGAAATTAAGTACAAATTTTAATTAAATTTAAAAGTTAATTATACTTGATATTTGAAAAGTACCACAAAAATGAAGAAATCTTAATTGAACAAAAGTGTACATAATTTTTAAATTTCTTGACTTAGAACTAAATATAAAAAAATTTTAAAATTAAAAATTCTAAAAAATGCAAATAATCAGTTAACTGCTTTAAATTAAAATAATTTGAAATCCAAAGTTGAAGCACGTTATTTTCGTAAACAATTAAAATTAATTATTTTCCTTTTAGTCTTTTCCTTAGGAACGTAGTCTTATTCCAAATTAAGTAAATTTTGAACAAAAATCAAATATTGTACTGCAAGTATAATTACGTCAAATTAATAAGTCAAAAAATATTTGATTTAATAACAGTTTCAGTTTTAATTTAAAAACTATAATTATGAAAAATTATCGTTTGTTCAATATTCTATAATACCCTTTATCCTTGCTTTTTAGCAGAATCCTTACAATTTTTAGCAGAAATTTCACATCATAAAAAGATTTAATATTGTTTAAAATCACTTTGGATTATTAAATTCTTCTTGCATTTTCTCAATTTTTATTAAAGTTAAAATGAAGTTAATTCATTACCGTTTTTATTGGAGCACATTATTCCTAAAATTAAATTGTTTTGTAAAAAACCTTCTTTTCAATATTCAAAATTTTAAACTTTATTTAATTATTCACAAAAAATATCCAATTTTGTTAATTTTTTAATTTAACTTTTATATTTTGCTTTTATCTTTTGATTCGGAAGTTCCCTTCAATTACATAAACTAAAATATTGTTATATTGATTCACATGAGTAGTGTCAAACTTAAAAAAAAAAATTAAATTTATAATATGTATGTTTTGTCTATCGTACCGAACCCGCTCGACTAAACTATTTAAAATGACTAACTTTCGGTTTCAAAATTGAAAATAAACTTTTTTCAATTCCTTAAAAGCGAATTTAAGTCAACTTTACCAATCGATTAACGAGCACAAACTGAACTAAAGAAATGCAAGACAAAAATTTTTTATTAAAAATCTCAACTTTAAAAAATTACAAAACAAAAAAATAAAATAAAAGCAAAACAGTTGCAAAAAAAAGAAACAAAAAAAAATCAGTTTTGTTTTTTGAACAGCAAAATAAAAATTTATCAAAAATTTACAAATACAATTGCAATTTTACATTCCCTACACAAATACACAAACACCAATTACGTATAATACTATCAATACGTTACATACGTTTAAAAAATCGAAAAAGTCAACCGAAACCGATAAAATGACATTTCAATGCTGCTAAAAAGAAAAATTTTATGAGTACTCTTGTACTCAAATACCTGCTTTCCTATGAAATGTTCTTTTTATTATGAAATTTTTTATATTAAAATTAATTTAATTGATAATTTTTATAAACACAATAAAAATTCCAGTTACATTTAACTTTGACGTAAACATGAAACAAAAAAATCCCTTGCAATTTGTCAAAAAAAAATATAACATAAATTTGTTTCTCTTTTTTCAATATTCACATTTTCTCTTAAATCCGATTTCACTTTCGCTTTTAAAAAAAAAGAAATTTCGTATTTTTACGATATACCAACTCAAATTTGGTATTTACTCAAATACCAACAAATTTTTTGTTGTTTATTTATAGTACAGTCGAACCCAATATGAAACAACATTAAGTCTCTTTTTTTTTTTAATTTTTGAATTAATATGAAATCTTTTTTTTTTTTGTTTAGGTATTGAAAAATTTTAATAATTTATTTAAATGTAATTTGAGTTTTTTTGGGCCCCAGCCAGTTAATGTTTATATAATATAGTAGATTGAAGAAACTCTGAAGAAAAAATGTTTATATAATATAGTAGCAAGAAACTCGAATGCACACAATCCGTCTTCTATTGATATTGAACAAAATTCATGGGTAGATAATGGAACCAACTGTATATGACAACTAATTCCCTTATAAAATAATACCATATAGACGCAATGTAGTATCTAATGTTATTTTACTGAATCCTTATCCATATCTACAAAAATTAATTTAAATTTTTGTTCACTACTAGTGATTTTTGGATTAGAATGATTTTATAGACTAAAATTTTCCAATAAATTATAATGTTTTAAAGGTGAATTCCATCTAAATTATATTTTACACATACATATGTGCACGTAGGCATTAAATCGTAATTTTTAACATTACATTAAATATTAAATTAATTTTTATCGTAATTTAATATTTTTATTAAACTGAAAATTAATGACGTAAACTGCATGATTATATTAATATTTATTATTTTAAATTTGAATTTTCCCAGCATTTGGCGTAATGCAATTCATTTTCATTTTTTCAAGAGAAAGAAAGAAAATGTTAATTTAAAATACAATTTAAGAGAAACGAATCGTGGAAATTCCGTTAATCTCAAATAATATTATGTCATCTACGATTTTCTCTTTCTCTCCGTTATAATTATTAAAAAACTGCTTGTGTATTAGTGAAATGTTATTACTTTTTTATTATAAAAAGTCAGCATTCAAAATGAAAATGTAAAGACCGATGATATAACCGTATAAATTTAAATTAACGGTTGAGATACTTTTTGAAACTAAAAATTTAAGTGAAAAAAAAAAAACAAAAATACTAAAAAAATATTTAAAACAAATAAAAATATAGGAAAAAACTTTATTTTTGTTTTAATGTGCCTGCTTGCATACTTTAATGTTATTTTTTGACAAATGCATTTAAAAACCAAAAATTAATTTTTACTTTGACAGATGGAAGTATTTTTAAATGGGTTGTTTAATAAAAATATAAAATAACAAGCAAACTGTAAAGAAAACAACAAAAAAGGGAAAGTGATTTAAAGTAATTAAAAAAAAAACAAGAAACGAAGAGCACAAAAAAAATCAGGTGTGTCTGAGATTATATGGGGCGACTTACATGACAAAAAATTTTTTCTGTTTTTATTTTTATTTTTTTTTTTTTTTTATGTAATTTTGATAGTAGATCTTAAAAATTTTGGAGTTCAATGTTAAACATTTAAATATTTTTTTTTCTTGTTTTATTTTGTATAACGAGTGTTTTTATTTAATTTGTTTTATTTTGACATATCATACACACATGTTTTGTTTATGTTATTTTAAATATGTCAAATGATTTTATAATAAAACCTGCATTCCAGGTACGGCTTAAGAATTTTTCTTTTCAATTGGGAACTATAAATAACTTGTATAAAAATGGAATACTTTTGCAATGAAAAGTATACAAATTTATGACATTTTTTTTTGAAACTTATGCTTATGTTTTTTCAGACTTCCATGTCTCAAGCACTCCTGTGTAATTTTTTTTTGCTTCATAATGTATATATACTATATTTAGATCTTTTAATATTTATATCATGTATATATACTATATACATATATATGCTATATTTTAATATTTTTGCTTTCATACGATTTTGCATTTCGTATAGAAAGAAAAATATGCCGTAATGTTATTAAAATAGTTCAAATTAAACTAAAGCTTTTCAATTATACTTTACCAGATAAGAGCAAGAATTTATATGGTTACATTTCAGACAATTACGAGTATAGTATCCTAAAAGTACAACTGAGAACTGAATTGTCAATATTTTGTGAGCCCTACATTTTTTTCGTTTATTTTATTTATTTTCGTTTATTTTATTAATATTTATTTCGTTTATTTTTTTAATATTAAAAAAATGTCGCTTTAGAAACATTCTGCCTGACACCGTCTAAAG